GCCCGAGGAACTCCTTCAATTCGCACCGACTGACGCGGAAGCGGAACTCGCTGAGTGGACCAAGGGGGCTGATCACACTTGGTACCAGGATCAGTCGACACCGGCAATCGCTGAAATTGGGCCCGATATCCGGGAAGCAACCTTGGCCAAGCCCGAGGCGCGTCATCGCGCCCAGGCTATGACCCAAGTTGAAAGCGTCGGTATTCCGGCCTTCCCACAGCTCCTTGGAACGTACGTCCGGGGCTGCCTCTTGCGTGAAAAGGAACAGAACCCCACGTGTGACCTGACGGTTAGTCATGTCACTGCTGCTCTTGAAGCGGCCAGGGACCAGGGAGGTCCTGAACTTGCTGCTCAAGCCGCGGACGCTCTAAGCTCCTACGGGGATTACGGCAAGGTCGGCAGCACCGCGCCGGCGATTCTCAGTCCTGTCAGTTGGGACGGTTTGATCGGGTATGGAACGCTTGAGTGGCAGTATGGTACCTGGCAGACCATTGACTTCGGAGATGAACTGCTGCTTCCCGCAGACTTCCTTTCTCAAATCGTCGGCGCCGCACAAACCTCCTCAGACGCCCCGGAACCCAAGCAGTGCCTGCTCCTTCACAGCTGTGCTGGGGTGCTCCTCGCAGAAACGGGGATAGTACCCACGCCCGAGGCTGTCGAGAAGCTGGCAACTTCGGTGAGACAACGATTACACGGGCAGGCGCACGAAGCCCAAGCTGCTTTGGGGCCCACGCCCGACGAATTATCCCGCGCTGAAGCTGACCTTCGCATTTATGCGCACGACCTGCTGCATTGGGGGCACGACAAGGACTACCGGTGTCTCGCGGCATTCCCCGACCGGGTCTTTGCACCCTATGCTCTTGCTATCGTTCGAGTCGACCATCGCGGCAGCACCTCCCTCGAGGTGCTGGTTGGCGCCAACTACGATTCAAGCCCCGAATCTACCATCTGGCTCCTTGTTTCGCAGGGCCATATGCGCCTGCTCCACCCGCCACGCCCGTTTGTTTGGCCCTCGACTGCGCGCCAAATCCAGGCGGTTGGCTGGGAGCCCCACTTGGAAGCAGCTGGATGCCCTGAGGCTTGGTATCGAGCCCAGGACGTCCTCCGCTGTCACATTTGCCAGCCCAAATACCCGCCGGAACGTTGCTCGGGTTGGGGCATCAGTGTGTTCGGGCTCAGCCCGTTAACGCCCCCGGACAACTTCGCGCCCAAGATCGGGCAGACGCCGGACCCACCGTCGGCGTGGGACCGCCTGGACCTTACCCCACCCGCAGACGGGCCTTGGCTCTTGTGTATTGGGCCCGACGTCAACGCGCTCGCAGAACGCCTTGCTCTCACCGGGCTTCAGACCGTTTCGGTCAGTGACCACACCTTCGACCAGCTCCTCGCTTCCTTGTCGGTTCTTGAGCATTTGGTCGCCGTTCCCGGCTGTGTTGGCCTTTGGCTTGACTTGGGCGTTGGGAGTGCCAGTTGGCGCGCTGCTTTGCTCCGTGCGGTACCCCAATCTGTCCTGGCTGCTTTGCTGATCACGGCCCCGCTGGGGCTTGCTGTTCGCGAATTTGCCTCGCACGTCGCACCGGTGCGGGTGCCGCCCGCATGGCTGCCCCAACGCGGCCCTCTGTGGCTTTATTCTCAGCACCCAGTGGTCCTGGCTTGTGCACCTGCCCTCCCAGGAGACCTGCCCTCGTTCGTGGCTACCCTCTTTCGCCCTGAGGCGCGCTTCGCGCCCGGGGTCGGGGGGGGGGCCGGAGTTCGCTTCCGCGAACAACAACAGTAAGGTCGGTGATTCTGCGGCCGAGGCCGTTAGACGATACTTCAATTTCGTGAGTTCGACTCCCTACTCCCGAGAGGCCCTCGGTCACGCCGCTACCCTGGGCAGTGCCCTGCTCGAAGCTGCCAACGGTTGGAAAGCGGCTACGCAGGTTTTGCGTGAGGAGGGCCAACGGAAGAGAGGAGACCACTTTGCTGGCCTCCATGAAACCTACCTGGAACCCCTGGTCCACCCTTCACTGCTCGAGGAGGCCCGGCGCACTGCTAAACACGGTGTCGAGGTCAGAGCTCATATGCAGGAAGGAGAACGGGTTCGCGCAAACCCCCATCCCAGCCTGAAAGGTCATCTGGACGAGGCTGCGGAGCAAATTTGGAACGACGCTCAGAAAGGAAGGGTCCTCATCGTCGTGGACCGAGGGCAAGATGGCCTCAGAGGCGTTGTTTCCGCGCCCTTGGCAAGAGTCCCAAAGTACAACCCAGACAGAACGGTGAGCAACAAGGGAAGAGTGATTTGGGACGCCACGGCCGTGAACAAAGTGTGCACGAAGGAGGACCACCCTCCTGCTCTCCAGCCCCGCCATTCCGAATTGGCCAGGTTGCTCCTTTGGTGGGCCTCCCGGTACCCTGCTCTCCCCATTCTGCTCTCCAAGAAAGACGTCGCTGAAGCGTTCAAGTGGATACCTGTGTCTGACGATGATGTCAGGCTGTTTGCCGCTGACCTCGGAGGGAAGGATTTTGGCCATCCGGGGAGCACCATCGTGCTGGTGTACAACGTCCTCACCTTTGGATGGAGAGGAGCACCGGGCCAGTTCATGCTCTTTGCCTGGACAATCAAATCTGCCTTCCACAGCCTGAAGCCCAACGACCCGGAGTGGAATGATGCCACGCCTTTCCGAAGCCTGGTACTTATGGATAATACTATCATCTGCGAACCAGATATAGGGCTTCGCCCGCATTATGCGGTGACGGCTGTCGAAGAGCTCACGCGGCGTGTGCTGGGCCCGGAGGCGATCAACCCCGCCAAGGATGCTGAAGAAGGGGGGCTGACGAGTTCCAAGCTTATCTGGGGTCTGCTTTATGATACTGAACAAGGCACTCGTACTCTCCCTCCCGTAAAATTGGAGAAGGCAAGCCACCTGCTGCGCCTGACGGAGTTCGACCCTGGGAACACTAAGGTCCCGTTGCGCTTGCTTCAGGAACTCAGAGGAAACCAGCAGTTTTGGATCGCGGCTATGCCGGCCCTGGCACCTCTTCTTTCGGCTACCAATGCCCTTCTGGGCCCTGCGGACAGCGACGGGTACGCGCGCCCTAAGGGTTCCCCGGCAGTCCAGGCTCGCGCCTGGCAAAGGTTTTGGGAAGCCGTGGAGGTCCAGAGACTGCTCGTCGAAATGAAAAGCGAGTGGACCACGGTGTTCACGCACCCACTGGTGGAAGCTTTGTCCCTTCAGGAAGTCCTGGCCCTTCCGGGCCAGGCCAAGCAAGCGATCTGGGCATCTGGAGACGCCACCTTAGAAACCATCGGAGCCGTGGACTGGACCAACAGGTCCGCCTTCTCACTCAAAATTGCGGAGCTGGAAGGCCCCTTGAGGACCTTCGTTGAGACCTCCAAGGAGGAAGACCCACAGGAAGCCGAGGGAGAGGGTGGCCCTGAAGAAGAGACTCTGATCGTGGCCGTGACCGAACTTCTTGCCCTCGTCGCCCTGGCTTCCGTTCAGCGCGAAAAGTGGAGGGGGAAAGTGGTGATTTATGCCGGAGACAACCAAGTCGTCCGGAGCTGGGTGCAGAAAAGGACAGCACCCAGGGCTATTGCCGCTTATTTGCTCCAGCTTCTGTCAGTTTTGGAAAGTGTTTATGGCTTCCGAGTCTACACAGCGTACATCCGCACATACCACAACCGCACCGCGGATGATCTCACTCGCCTGGACCCCCGCTTGGTCTTCCAAAGGGAAGGCCTGCAGGAACTGGAAAATGTGGCCGCTTACTTTCGGGCTTTGCTGGATCGGGGGTGGCACAGAAGGGCCCTGATTTGGTCCACCGAAGAGACCCACCAACAGTTGGCCCTGCAGCTGTCTGGGCTCAGGCAATCGGCGCTCGAACGGGTGCCCGCGGGACTCGCCATGGCGCTGCTGGACAAGGTCTGCGTGGAGTGGGACTGCGACTATGGGGCCTACAGTGCGGCTGTGCTGTCCCTTGGCGCGGTCGCCTATGCCAGCCACTCTAGTCGAGGGCACTGGCGGACCCCGGTCGATGCCTGGGATGGCCAACCGGTTGATTTCCTGTTCGGACGCGTTGGTCCGAGAACTACTAGCGCGGCAGAGCTGGCTCGAGGCGCGTCTCGCGCCCAGGCCAAGGAGGTTTGGGCTGACACCCCGACCGAAAGAGAAGCAAAGGAATGTGCCCAAGGGTTGGAAGCTCTTGGGTATCAGACCCTCGTCAAATGCGTGGCAGGCAGAACGCTGGAAGACCAAATTTGGTGGAGGCGGTGGGTTGTTTGCGGAAAAAGAGGAGGGGCTGCGCGCGAACCGCCCTGCCTTTCCGCGGATGAAGAACCTCAGACCCCTGCCAAAGCGTACTATGACCTGACTTGGCTGCAGCCTGACAAGCAGATCCCAGCCGACGCCTGGGTGTCATGCGAGGTCAACCTTGACAGTGGAATGCCGCACCTGGGAGCTACCTCGCCCCGACCCGCTGGCCATTTCAAGTTAAATGGAAAAAGGGCACTCCTGTGGGAGCCTCACCGCCCTTTGTCTTCCCTGCACCAGCATTCCTGCGAGGAAGGGAGACCTGATGCCCTGTATCTTCTTGGCACAAGCACGAAAGGGCCAAGTCCCAGGCGCCTGCTGCCTGTGGAGGTGCAGCGCCTTTGGGGTGTGAAGCCAGAAAGGTCGACCCGGTCCGATCCGGACGAAGCCGCCAAGCACGCCCTGCTCGAACCACCTACGGGGCTGGCCAAGTTAGCCGGGCTTTGGGCAGGGGGTGGAGCGGCGTGCTTCGCGCCCGCCACCCCCGACGATCCCAGCGCCACGGACAAGGTTGGAGTCTGCACCCTCCCGTGGGAGGATGAAGCTGAACGAGCCATGCTTGGATGGGTTGAACAACGACAGCGCGAGAGAGTCGTCGGCGGCAAAGGGTCAGACAGAAGGTCCAGGTCGCACAGGGGGCCCGAAGGGTCCGATCCGGTGCAATCCGACCAGGGCAAAGGGTACAAAGGCAAGTCGGGGAAGCAAGCCGACTGGCAGTGGAAGCGGGACCTGTCGGGTGCCGTCAGCCGGGTGCTGCGACACGAGGGCGGCACAGAAGCCAGCCCGATGACTGAAGAAGGATGGATGCGGCTCCGGGTGCTCATGGGACACCCCCAAGTCGCCCGGTTGGGCGCCCAAGAGAAAGACTTGAGGGACTTGGTTCAACGGGACAACAAGCAGCGGTACACTCTTGCGGATCATGACAACGAAGCTTGGGTGGCTGCGTGGAGCGGCCACAGCATTCCCTTCGTGGTCGGTCCTGCTTGGCCGTTACCGGAAGATGCTGTCCCACGCCTCTTGGTGCATGGATCATATGCGCGACATCAGACCAGCATCAGCCAGAAGGGTATTAAGAGGCGCAGAAGAGACGTGCACCTCCAAGACCCCAAAAACCACCACCGTCGATGGCGAGCGGACCTCGAAATCAAGGTGTTGATTGACACCCAGGTGGCTATGGTCGCGGGCTGCACCTTCCGCCTGACCGGAAATCAGGTTTACCTCTGTGACGCTGACATCCCCGCCGCCGCCATTGAAGGCATTGAGCCGTGGGACAACCTGCCAGGTGGAGACACGAGCGAAGGGAAGGTGGCGGGCCGAGATGGCTTTCCACGGCTTGGAATCTGGGAGGTGGACGCCAAGAGCAACGACTTGAAGCAAGAGGTCGTTGAGGTTGCCAGAACTCTGGCGGCGGCCGCCCAGGCTGCGGGGGGGTCCGACGTCTTGGCCGTCGACCCGCAGACTTTGACCCACGAAGTGGTCAAGGAAGGAGTCGCCGAGGCGCGTTTCGCGCCCGTGGAAATCGACCTCGGATCCGAACCAAACTGGGATGCAGAAGAAAGTGCTGAAGAGTCGAGCCCGACGAAGCGAGAAGGAAATAAGGAGCCCGCCTCAGGATCCGGGCCCGGGCTCGGGTGGGAAGGTCAGGAGTCTCAGGGAGCCCGCATGGAGGGCGCCACTGCCTCCGCGCCGGTCAAGTATGAGGAACCGAAGGAGGAAAAGCTCGAGACCAAGAGCACCACTCCGGAGCCAAGGCCCAAACGGCTGATGCTGGGCACCGCCAAGGTGCTGCTCTTGTCTCTTGTTGCCGAGGCGGATGCCCACAACTGGGAGAGGCTCACGGATCGCCTCCGAACCGTGCAAGGGTCCGGTGAAGAGAAGGCCGAGTTGGTTGAAAGGCTCGAAGAGCTTGCGGAAGCTCGCTCCAGCAGCCGCAAAGGGTTGCTCGAGTCCGCTGCCCAGGAAAGGCAGAGGCTGAGCGCCCTGTCCCAAGAGCAACAAGAATACCTCGGCCGGCTATCGCCAGCTATGAGGGAATTTGAGAAACGCAACCCTGTTGGTCCCACCACTGGCACGGCCCTGATCACCACGAACCGCTTGTCAGCTGACATTGCCGCAGGCGTCCCTATCTGGGTGGCGAGGAGAGCGCAGAGGGCTCGAGAAAGGGCCGCGCGCAACCAAGCGCAAGCCCCCAAAGCGCCCCGCGGGGCGGCGGGATCGGGTCAGCGGGACCCAGAGGAGGCAGCCGATCTCCTGGACGACGACCTCCGCAAGGCCGCTGCGCGGGACCTTCGGGAGTTCAGGCAAGAACTGGTGGGCCAAGAAAAGCCTCGGTCTACAGGGAGACAGCCTGAATCGAAAGCCCGGAGGAAGCGTAGGCGAGAAGCCAAAAAGAAAAAGACGCAGACTGCCCCGGTAACCAAAGGGGCTTTGTGGGCAACGGTGGCAGCGGCTTCTACCCCCCTCACAGAAGGGTGCGGCAGGGGTGAGGTGGGAGGAAGCCCCCCATCTTTCTCCTGGTCCTGCTGCTGGGCCTGCTGGTGTGGGTGGCCGTGGCGCGCATCGCGCCCGGCTCTCCTCGCAGAGCATCAAAGAGACTCTGCTGGTGCCTCCTATTGGGAGCTTTGCCGCCGGGAGCAGGACAGACTTCCGAGACGAAAGCCCAGGGAGAGGATAATGCCCGAGCCTGGGAATTTTGGCTTCTCCTCGCTTTGGCTGCCTATGGGCTTCTTAACCTCGCGGCCAAGCTGCAGACAGCTCTGTTTGGAACCTTGACATATCGGAAAGCGGCCCGAGCGCCCGCAAGAAATGAAGGCAGCAAAAGAAGGAAGCCGTCCCCTCGGGAGCCGGCTTTGGCGTGCACCCCACATGGGGAAGCCTACCATCTTCCTACTTGCGGGCATGTGAAAGGACGGCCCCATCGGATCTTGAGGCCGTGTTGCGTTTGCAACCCGCAGGTTGCTGCTGGGCGCAACGACGACGCTGAAAGGGATCGCAACCACGCCATCGCGCATCTGGCCACGCTCCTGGTTGGGGTGTTCCTGATAGCAACCGCCGTCTGCTGGGGGTGTTGGGCCCCCTGTTGCCGTGCCAGATCCGCCCCTTCCGAAGATGGCGGGGAATGGTGTGCCGAGGCGGGTATCCCGCCCGGTACCTTGACCTGCAACCGTGAGATCCCGGCGGCCGACCCGGACCGGAGAGTCGGAGTTCAGATCCGACCTAGAAAGCGGGTCCGTTTTGCCGCTTCCGATACGGAGATCCAGGAAGACGTGGCGGCCAAACCAAGGAGCCCGAGTGCAAGCAGCCTCAAGGGGGGCCCGGCGCGGGTCAAGGTCCCCTTTCTTGGAGGGCCTTCAAAGGCTAAAGAAATGAGCAAATCCAAAGGGGACTTCCGCCTGGCCACTCTGCAAGGGAAAGATGAGTGGGAAGCTGAAAGCCTGTCGGTCATGCTCAATCGGTATGCCCAAGCTACCCAGAAAGCCTACCAAGCCCAATGGGTTTGGTGGCAACTCTTCTGCAATCGCAGGGGCTTGTCACCTTGGCGCAATGTGCGCCGATACGATGCAACGGAGGAGCAGCTGCTGATTGAGTTTGCCCTGCACACGGCAGTCAATGGAGACCGAGCACCTGGCACGGTCAAGGTTCGGCTTGCCGCCGTGAGATCCTTGCATCTCACGGCAGGCCTTCCGGACCCTACTGCCCATACCCCGCGTTTAAGCCTCGTCCTGGCGGGTCTCAAGAGGAGGTACGGCACCAAGGAGAGACGCCGACCTGTCACTCCAAGGATGCTCTCATGGTTAAGAGCGTATCTACTGCAAGGTTCCCTGGCGTCCCATGATGCCGCCCTCCTCTGGGGGGCTGTGACCCTAGGTTGGTTCTCCTTCGGGCGTCAGAGTACCTTGACGTGGGCTACACGGATCAGAGCAAGGGTCTGAAGGGCAAAGATGTGATCCTCAGCTGCAACGGCAAACCGTGCAAGCTGCATGACTTGCAAGCCGCCACCGAGATCACCCTGCATATCCGGGGATCCAAGACTGACATTTACAACCGTGGCGAAACGAGGCACCATTTTGCTACAGGGCTGGATCTTTGCCCCGTCCAGGCTGCCCGCAACATTTTTGTTTGCTTTCCAAATCGATACTAGGGGGGCGTCGAAGAAAGCGAGCCACTCTTCCGTGATGATGAAGGAAGACCTATCAGCCGCGAAGCCATCAGTGCCCTCCTGGTGAAAGCCGCCAGAGCCGTGGGGGAGGAACCGGGAGATCTGAAAACTCACAGCCTCCGATTCGGTGGCGCATCGGCGCTCTGGGCAGCTTATAAAGACGCTGCAATTGTGAAGCGCTTCGGGCGATGGGCTTCTGACTCATTCCAAACGTACCTCTGGGATTCCAAAGAATCCTCTAGAGGTGTGGCTACCAACATGGCTACAGCAGACCTCACGCCGGCCTGACGGGCCGAGGCGCATTTCGCGCCCGGCTTGTTAGGCATTTTGTCAATGGGGGGGCGGGAGCCCTTGTCGGGCAAACTGGGGCTAGCGCTTTTGAGACTTGGCGCGCGCAGCTAAAAGGGTGCGCCGTAGGGTCTGAGTGCTGCCGCGTGAAACTTGTACGTACAGCTTGCGTTCGTAGGGTTTCTTAGTTGCCTACGTTGACCCTGTAGGCTCAAGGTGTATAGGGGCTAGGGCCAACAGGGCTCTCCCACCCATCCCTCCCCGAGCCCTTGTCGGGCAAACTGGGGCTAGCGCTTTTGAGACTTGGCGCGCGCAGCTAAAAGGGTGCGCCGTAGGGTCTGAGTGCTGCCACGTGAAACCTGTTATTAACGCGCTAGCCAGGGATTCAAGTCGGAAGTGCTCATGCTGTCTACTTTTCGTTGGCCAGGACAGACAGCCATAGTTTCCTGGCCCATTGCGAATTTAAGAAATTCTACATGCCTACAGATGTAACGCAGATGCTTGGGGGGGAGGGAGGGAGGGAGGGAGGGAGCGAGACAGAGAGAGAGAGAGAGAGACAGAAACAAACCCACGCACGCACGCATGCATGCATTCATGCATGCATGCATTCATTCATTCATTCATTCATGCATTCCTTCCGTCGTTCTTTCATTTATTCATTCACTCACTCATTCACACACACACACGCACACGCACAGCCTCGCATGCATGCACGGAAAGTGCAAATGCAAACACGTATCATGAAGAGCTGGATAGAGCCTGTGCATGTTTTTTGGCAGGTAGTTGCCGAGGCAAGGAAGGATGTGGAGGAGCCCCCATCAATGCGTTCTTTGCTGGGCCAAAAGTGCGCCAACGCACAGCCTCAGAATCCTTTTCAGAAAGAGTGCAACGGAACGTTTTGATGCCTTTGAGCGTTTTTGTGGGATGATTTGTGAAGATAGATGAAGATAGCATTTCCATACATATCACCACTAGTGAACGGATAACATGAACCTCCATGCCATTGGCATGTGCATATGTAAAGTATGACAGATTTGATACAGAATTTCATACCAGTATGGTGCCTTTTATTGTTGGTATGGAGTTGCCGTGGGGACTGGTGTGCTGCTCCTCTGCTGCCCAGGGGGGACAATCTGAGAGGCATTTTATGCATTTTGGGGTTCTCACCTATACTGCTTCGTTTCGACATAGCTTAATCAGTACCAGTAGTACCGCACAAGGCACGGGCGGAAGTTTCAAAGATAGGAAACCTATAGGATGTGAATCGCTCTGATGCATGGATGGAGAGCGAACCAGCTGATGGACCGAAAGGTGGTTGAGGCTTTGCGTCTCTCTCTCTCTCTCCCTCTCTCTCTTTCTCTCTCTCTCTCTCGGTCCCGTCGCTTACGTCTCCCTCCCGTCCTGCTCTCCTCTCTCTTTCTTCTCTCTCTCTCACTCTCTCTCTCTCTCCTCTTCTCTCTCGCCTCATCGCTCTCTCCCTCTCTCTCCTCTCCTCCCTCCCTCGCTCTCTCTCTCTCTCTCCCCTTCCCTCCCTCCCGGTCGCTCTCGTCTCATCGCTCTCCCTCCCTCCCTCCCGACCTAGCTCTCTCTCTCTCTCTCCCTCCCTCCCTCCCTCCGTCTGTCTCTCCAACTGTCTCTGTCATCTTCTCTCTGTGTCTCTTTATCTCTGCCTCTGCCTGTCTCTCTGCCTATCTATCTTTCTATAGTGTAGTGTAGCACAGTTGTAGTTGGAGCTGTAGCTGTAGTTGTAATTGTAGTTGTTGTGTAGCGTGGTGTGGTTGTAGTTGTAGTCTAGTGTAGTGCAGTGCAGTATAGCGCAGGGTAGTCTAGTGTAGCGTAGTTGTAGTCTAGTGTGGTATACTGTAGTGTAGCTGCAGCAGTTGTAGTTGTATTTATAGCTGCAGTTGTAGTTGTACTTGTAGTGTCGTGTGGTGTAGTTGTACTTGTGGCTGTAGCGCAGTGCAGTGGAGTAGAGTGTAGTGCTGTGTACTGCGGGCAATCTAGTATAGTGTAGTGTAGTCTCGCGTAGTTTAGCGTAGCTGTAGTCTAGTGTTGCGTAATAGTGTAGTTGTAGTTGTTGTTGCTGTATAGTGTAGTTGTAGCTGCAGTTGTAATTGTAGCGTACTGCAGGTGTAATTGTAATTGTAGTCTAGTGGGCTGTAGCGCAGTGTACAGTCGCACTTGTAGTTGTAGTTGAAGTGTGGTGTTGTGTAGTTGTTGCAGCTGTTGTAGCTGTAGTTGCACTTGTAGTCGGAGGCACGTTGATAAACGCCCTTGGCGTTGCGAAACGCGACTTTCATTTTCACACTTGACAAAGCACAAAGCGCTGTAAGGGTTGCAAAAATTGAACATGGAGAAATGCCTCGCGCCACAACAGCGTGCATGTTTACTCTCTCCTCCGGCCAGATGGCTCCGCACCCGCCGCTTTAGCAAGCCTACTTTTCGACCCTCCAGAGCCACGAAACATCAGAAAAACATAGTGCCGCGCAACTTTTCTACCTATGTGTGCACCTTGATCTTTCTACTGACTCTTTCTCTTCTGACTTCTTCTCTTCTGATTCTTTCTCTTCTCTGCCCCTTCCCACCTCTGCTGCTTCATTTCTCCATATTGTCGGAAGTTTGACTTCTGAACTTCCTTCGAGACTGCGTCTATCTTCCGGATGCTGAGTCTGCACGTGCCCGCGCCAACGGCTGAACTTGAACTGCAGCTGTCCCAAACTAGACTCTAAATTATAAACGACGGAGAAGGGAAAACAGAAGGAGAAAGAGAATGAGAGAGAAAGAGAGAGAGAGAGAGAGAGAAGGAGAGAAGGAGAGAAGGAGAGAAGGAGAGAAGGAGAGAAGGAGAGAAGGAGAGAGAGAGAGGGAGAGAGGGAAGCAAAGGAAAAGGAGAGAGGGAAGGAGAGAGAAAAGGAGAGAGGGAAGGATAGAGAAAAGGAGAGAGGGAAGAAGGGAGAGAAGGAGAGTGAAGGAGAGAGAAGGAGAGAGAAGGAGAGAGGTCGAGATGGACATTTTGCTATGACCAGGAGCGCGTGCAGCATGCTTTGGAGATGGCCAGCAAGAAGATACCAGATACACAGGACAGACCAACAACCCGCAGGTTCATCATTCTTCGGGGAAGGAACCCAGAAGCATAGCAGAACACTGTCGAAGGGTATCTTCGCACTGTTTTTTAAATAAACAAACGGTTTTCAGTCGTTTGAAATCATGTTTCCAAAAGGTGTTTCCAGAAAGATTTTTGCATTTTGATTTGTTGCTCGAGATTCTCTTAAATTGGCAACACCGATTAAAGGACCTTCTCGACTCAAAACCGAAGTCCTCAATC